TATATACATGTAGACACGTGTAGACTCAAAAAGAACCAAAAAAAGTACGATTAAAGGAGACAAGAAGATTCTATAATTTGTTAGTATCTGTGTACGTTTTGGAGGTGCTAACACATGCAAAATCTTTGGTGCACCTGGCTTTGTCGTTTGATGAGAGAATAAAAGGGAAGGTTGAGATGGGGGGAGGGCAGCTGTAATTAAGAGGGGGAACTAATTAAGGGTATACACCTTATCATCAGTGTTGAATCATTRATGTTTATTAATTCTAAGCTAGATTAGTCAGAAGGGGTGCACGAGCCAACACCCCAAAGACAAGTGGGCGTATTGGTTCATGGACTGGGCTACCTGTTGTCTGAGCCAGATATCTTGGTCAGCGTCTTTACCCTGAGGCTTTCAAGATGGCGGATACGAAGCCGCTATGGGAACTTCAGCAACAATTCTCATCAATTTTTTAACGCCTTCCTCTTGATCTAATTCACAAGCGGCTACGAGAATGTATAACCTAAGAAGGCAAGCTCCCTTTACAGATTTCTAATGCCATGATCGAGGTTAAAGCGCGGATGGTGCGAAGCGCTGTTTACCTCGCGGGGGAAACGTTACAATGTGAAATTATTTTCACGAATGTCAACGAGGATTCAACTGCTCTGAAAAACTCTAAGGAAGAGAAAAAGGAGCCTAAAGTGGAGCGTCTCGCTTGGGCAAGCGTGCAAATACACTGTCAATGTTCAGTGAATAGTAGCCGTATTGTCATCCCACAGAAAAATGATACTTCGACAGTCGATCTCACGTCTCCAGTGGTGCTAAAATCCAGCACAAGTTTTGCACCATCGAGAGGTTCGAACACTCTAAAACATTAATCATTAAATTTCCTATCTAGCTACCTCAAATCTTTTTACATGTTAAAATTTTTGTCTTGATTTTGTTTTACAAGGTGAACAAGGGCAGTGCTTAATGGACACACAACCAAAGATCTTGTTTTGCGACTTAGAGCTCGCACCTGGCGAATCTCGAACTTGTGAGTCAATGTTTGCGTTTTATACATAGCATAGTATACTCAGCTTTGTCCGCATAACAGCTGATAACGTTCTATTTTTATATAATTGTGAAAATAAAAGAAACAAAAAGAGGATTTTCTACAAATATAAACAAGTTCACAGTAAATTATTCATGTGTATTTAACAAAATGATCACTTCTCCTGATCAACGGAAGTGATAAAAACTTACTCCAAAACTTCTCTTCTGTACTAAAATTATCCACTATTCTGAAAAGCTATTTTGATATTTAGTTGCTTTTTCTCCAGAAATAGATAAGATAGTAATTTAATAACTAATTGGGGTAACTATTCTTTTATTTATAAACGCATTGGTTCTGAATGAAATTCTTGCTCTCCGATGACGTATCACCAACAGAGCCAAGAACTCTTGAATCTTGCCTGAAAATTTGTCTCATTTTGTGGATGTTTTGGCTATATTTGAAGGAGTTTGAAAGTTTCTTTTCTTTTAAAAAACAGCTGATATTACTAAAACAATTTCACGTTTGGTTCCCTATTACTCTATTTATTTATTTCATTATGTAAATAAAAAGAGCTTTGCATTTGTTCAATCGAATTAATTATGTTTTTTTAGATGGATTCGTTCTGTTTTTCAATAATCATTCCCACTGTAAATTTGGGTATCAGGTTTTTCAAACTATTTTAAAGGGTTGAATAAGATTGCCTTTTATTATTTTAAATAATTTTTGGACTGAATGATTCTGATTTTAAAAGCTTTTAAAAATTACTGAAAATTTTCATATAGTTTTTCATCAGAAAGTGGAAAAGTTAATAAGATTGCATTATAGTAAAGGATTTCTTTCAGTCAGCTAATGGACCCTTCTCAAAACTATCTTGATGTGAGACTAACATGGAACTCCAAAAGATATCACTTTTTTTTTATATCAAATTTGTGGCATTTCTTTTGTAAGTCCAAGTTAACCTTGCATCCAAAGTAATTTTGAGAATTCATAGACAAATTAGAGCAACCATTATTTTGGACATGATTGACAAAATAGAAAGTGTGCAAAAGTGCTGTGTGCTCTCACATAATAAAACTTAACATTTAAAAACAATTATTTTGAATATATATGGTTACAATTAAGCATAGAATATGGCTAAAAGTGGGACAGAGGGAGGGAGGGGCAGAGGTGGAAATAAAACACATCATTAAATCCTGTTTTCATTTTTTTAGTTTTATACAGTGAGATTATACCAGCTGATGGACCACCTTCATTCAAAGGATATGCCGTCAAGTATTCTTATAAAGTTACACTTGGAACCAGTCGTGTTAACTCACAATTCAAGCTACTCAGACTTCCACTTCGTGTTTTGACTGTGCGAGGTAAATAAAAATTTGTCATAAAATCTACATTTTTTACGAGAAAAGTTTACTTTGTCTCATTGAAAACGTTTAGCCAACCACAGACAAGTATGCATCCTAGTGTATATTTTAGGGAGGGAAGGGTGGGGCAACATGAAAATTTACCCCCTTGTGACTTGTCTTTGAATGTTACCAAACATTTATCACAGGCAGCCCATGCTATTAAAAGAGCGCTTAAGTGCAGAAACACAGGTTGTCTACTGGTATGCACTGCCGTAGGAATTTTAGGGAGGAGAGGGTGTGGCTAACTGCAGTAACATTATCTAGAATTACTTTCATGTGACAACTTCCATTGTTGCCAAAGGTTTAACACAGGGAGCTCATACAATGGATAGCACATATAAAGAAACACTATTGTGAAGTTACTAACAGCTTAATTAACTAAYGCAGAAGTTAAAAGCATGTTGTATAGTTGCTCCCTTTATTTGCATTGCAGGGAGCATGCATGGTTTCTTGTTCAGGCTCTGACAATAAATCTTGGTTAGATAAATTCAATAGACCATTTTCATTTTCTTATCTTTTCAGGTTTAACTGAAACAGAAAATTTCTTTGGTTTACCAGAACAGACTTCCAACCCATTTTTAGAAAACAAAGCAAATAATAATTCACTTTTAGATATAGCAGTTGATTATTTAACTGCAGTTACTTCGAAGAGAAACTCTCGTAAGTAACATTTCAAACTCTAGCTGACATGATTCTTATAGTGCAATGTTGTTTGGGGACATCAGAAGACTACTGGGTGGCCAGGCATGTACCAAGAACAAAAAAGAACCATGGCTAATAAGCTATGGCTTAAAGATAGCCTACCAGAAGAAAACTAAGACCGTTGCAAATTTGATGCAACCCAAAATTCAAGAAATGAGTTGTGACTAGACTAAAATTGCAGGCTCTGAGAAAGCTTCTACAGTGCAGGCACTTGAACCATGAACACTTCAAGGTTTTTTTGGCATGTTTTCATAACTATCTAATCACAGCTCTCTGAAGAAACAAAAGAATCAAACATTCTTAGGCACCATCCAATCACAAAAAACAACGAAAAATCTTTAGATGTTTTTTTAATTTTTTGCTTCTACTTCCCCTTCCCCTCCCACTGGATTAGAAATCAAGAAAAGGAGGCTCTGAGGGAGCGTGGGATACAAGTCCACCTTTAGTATCCCATTGTGATGATGTCAAAAATAAGATAAAGAAATAACCATTTCCTTTACTTCCCAAACTCTTTTCTCTTTTGATTTTAATCCTTCCATTCCTCGAATATAAGCCCCCCTATTTAACCTATTAAAAAAGCGCTTATAAAATAGATAAGCCAAAGGCTTACAACTGGTATTTGATGGTTTATTATATATTTTTTGTCTTATTATGTTTTTGTTATATTTCAGATGTGTATAATATTGTAAGCAATAAAGGACATGTAGGAAAATTCTGTCTTTTTAAATCAGCATATCGAATAGGAGAAGAAATTGTTGGTTCATTTGATTTCACTGATACCCTTATTCCTTGTGTAAAGGTAAGAACACTGGAATGATCGCACTCCTTTTCATGCCACATTAAAGCAATCAAGCAGCCAATGAATTACTGCAGTTTTTCAATATTCTGCAAACTCAGACATTCCAATGGCTCGTTGTGAACTCGGTTTTTCACTGCTGTCAATCCAGTAAAAGGTACCAACTTATTATTTTTGATTGACAGCAGCRAAAAAACAAATTATTTTCATTGTGCAGCCTTGTAACTATAGAGTTCGCAGAATATAGAAAATTGCAGTATTAGTTTCAAACATAGTTGCTTTTCAGAAGGCTGTAGATAAACTTTGTGATATACATTTTTCCAGCCCTGTGCCAATTGATTATGTATTTTTCTTGCAATTTGTTTTTTTACTTCCCAGTATACAGTAACTCTTCAAAGCGAAGAACACATTCCAGAAGAATATCGACCACCCCACTGTAAGAATTCAGGAGCAATATACACATCTTACTGCTCTGTTCAGGAGTACTGCTTGCATGCCAAAAAGACACATCTTGTTCTACCTGTTCCTGTTACAGTATGTCCAGAATTTGAATCAGATTTAGGTAAGCTGCCACCAAATGAAACCCATTTGCCATTCAGGTAGTATAGAGGCTTTGCACCAGAAACTTACATATGACTTATATTTTACAACTATCACTCCACGCAAAAGGCTCTTCCATGAGGTTTGTTCCACATGCACAACCACTACATTCATTATTTACAACACACAACACTCAACTCACATGATAATTCAGACTTATGGAGGGGGAAAAATCTGAGTATAACTGAAAAAAACCCTCATGGGAAAGGAGAGAACAACACTCAAACAAACTCAACTCACATACATGGCTCAGCTGGCAACTACACAGCAGTGAAAGACAGCACTGTAAAAAGACAGTGAAAGTCAACACTGTAGCAGTGCATGCCACCTTTTCATGAGAACTCAAATTCTCGAAGCACATGCAAGAATCATTAAACGACTTTACTCACATGGCATGGCTTTCTTTCTTTCTTTCTTTCTTCCTTCCTTCCTTCCTTACCTTCTTTCTTTCTGTCCATTTCTTCATTCTTTTCTTTTACTCCCTTTAAAAGTTGAGTTGAGAGTCTTGTATATAGAAAATTCAAATGTAGTAAGGAGTGTGTATGGAAGGTACAAAAAAAGCCTTCTGTGAATAGATAAAAAAGATTTATTCATTTTTTTCAGTTTGTCTAAAATGGAGACTTCATTTTGAGTTTGTACTTGCAAGTGGTGTTCTTCCTGCTGGAGCAAGTCCTCTTCAATCAACATATCCTCAATTAGACACTGCAACATGGCAAGGGCCTGCAGACATAGAGACTGAAATAATGACTTGGGATTTCCCAGTCAAATTACTAGCAACAAATCCACTACAAGCATCTTCAATTTCTATGATAAGGACTTCAAATTCAATGATGTTTTAGTATTATATCAGTTTAGATACATGGAGCACGCATATAGCTGGGTATATCTCATCTTCATTCTGCTTATAACGTCTGCCAACTACACCATTCTCGATACTCATGTTTCAAGTCAAAATAGTCACTATGGTTACTATCTTATGAAGAGCAAGACCTATTTCAGGAAGTGCCTTTCAACATAATAACCAATTCAACTTCCAATATTCTGGTTGAATGGCCATGATCAAGCACAAACCATTTGGAGTCAAGGCTCTGGGAGAAACAGTATTTTTAAATTGTGATTATTCTTTAGTTTCCCTGAAGCATTTGCTCAGATTGTTTTGTGCTTGATCACACATGCAACCAAAATATCAAAAGTTGGCTATTGTCATAAATCATTTACAAAGACAACGATCTGCAAGGCAGCATACTCACTGGCAAAGTATCATCTAACTAGTTTTCATACATAATATTATATAGGATAATTAGAGCATAAATAAATTATTCCCACAGCTAAGACAATCTCAGACTGTGTTAGCTGTCTCTCAATATTTGTTTTTCTCTGCCATCAAGCAAGACATTTTTACCTAATGGCAGGTCTCAAGATCGCCTCCTACACAGACATCCAAAAGGTCTCTTAAATGTTGTGGGACAGACCCTAAGGACGTTTGCGTAAGAGRCTAGGCTTTCGAAAACAGCTGGTCAATGGCCATTGTTGCCTCTTTGGGCAGTTCTCTTGACTGGTTGCCACATTGACTGGTCACATGTTGATTAGTCCAAAATGGCTGGTTATTTGTCTGACCATTGATCAGCCGTTTTGTAGTCCTGGAATGCAGCAAAAACAGACTAGGGAATTAAGCAACCCAGTTAATTGTGTGATATTAGGAACCCCAGTAACTTTTCTAGGTACGTGGACATCAAAGTGTATGTAACATTTTTATATTTTAATTTATAAAATATTTGAGATATTATTCGCATGCTGATTGGCTGGCTACCTTGTTTATATGAGAGGACTGAGACACGATCAAGCAAAATCGTTCAAAAATGTTTTATAAAAGCTATATAAGATGGCTGCTTATGTCTAGGTACCGGATGGATATAAACACTTTGGGAGCTGTAGAGCACTTGAATAGCAAGAGAAACACTCGGCTATGCCTCATGTTCCTAAGCTTGCTTCTCTAGTGCTCTACAGCTCCCAAATTGTGCTTATACCGTAGTAGAGACATGCACACATTTATATTTCTTAATTATAACCATATGGGGGTCTTGTTTCATCGTCAAGAGATCCTTTATAAATGGCTTGAACCATTTCTAACTGAAAATATGATATAGGATTATATATTACTAAAATACTAAATGTTCTTGTTATTTAATATACAAAATACTAGCTTTTAAGATATCTCAAACTCCCATAGCCTCCTATAAGCAGACATCTTTCTATGCAGACATCCCTTAGTAAGGTCTTTGCGAAAATAGTTGTGGACTGCTAGTTTCGGATATGTCTTGGAAGTGTTAGTTGCGCTTACCTGGTGTGACTTGCTTCAATGCTCTCCTAGCATTCRGGGCTTAAAATAATGGCCAATCAGTCACYAGTCATGATCACAGGCCAAATTAGTTTTAGCTCAGTCATACCTTATTTCTGGCTAAACATCACTGGTCAAAGTGACAGGCAAGGCAAAGCTTTAACCCATGGCCAACAAGTCCCAGCTATGGCTGGACATTGTCTGATGTCTGGCCGTTATTTTATGCCCTTGCATTTAACATGTGATTACAAAGAGTGAAAACAAATATAATGAAGAATAGAAATTTATTAAACAGGTGAAGACTATTCATTATTAAAAATGGTTTTATTTTTGGAAAATGTTTCAAATATATGATTTCTATTACAGCTCAGTACATTATGCATTTCATAAAATAATGCATTCATAATTTGTCCATTCATAATGTAACCAATTCCAACATTTAGTTCATTTCTTGACCAGACTTAAAGCTGCAAATTCTYGTGAGATCCTCAAAAGCAAAAACTAATTAATGTCCATATGTCCTGCATACAACTTATCATTTGTAAATACATTTTCAAAAGGTCAAGTTGTCTTCAATGTTATTCAGGGCCTCCTCTCTGCAAAGAATTATAATTTTTTGAGTAAATTGTGAATACCTCCCTGAAGGGTGGGGATGGGAGAATTCCAATGCAGTAGGGCTAAAGGGGAGGCTCCAGACTCGTAGCTAGTCGTGACTCATGCTTTTTCATGCTTTTTTAATGCGCGCGGTGGCTTTGGGAAGGCTTTTTTCCCGTCCTTCCCTTGATGCACCGAGTACTCTCTAAATCCTTCCCATTAACCATAGCGTGAGATCAATAAGACAAGTGAAGCGACTGGGTGGCTCTGAGGAGAGTTGTATGTGAAATGAGTAGTTCCAGGAAATATTCATACCTGCAGTTTCCATGTGGTAGGGAGACTCCAAGGAGGGTATGCTGGCTATTTCCAGGGTATATCCGTACCTGCCCATGGAGGGGGAGTTGTATGTGAAATGTGTAGTTCCAGGAAATATTCATACCTGCAGTTTCCATGGGGTAGGGAGACTCCAAGGAGGGTATGCTGGCTATTTCCAAGGGTATATCCATACCTGCCCATGGAGGGGGGATTAAAATTCTCAAGGGTAAAGATGGTCTGGGGATCATTGCTTTTACTAAATTATAGTAATATTTTTCGCTTATTGATCAAAAATACATAATCTCTAGAAGTGTGGTTGACACCGTCATTATATATTCATCTATAATAATCTCAAAGACTGTTGTCCAAATATAGTAACAAAGTAAAAGATATTAAAATGAAACGTACCTCGATATACTCCATCTCCTCCCTTGATATGGTTCGCCGTCTGTATCTTTGAGGTAAACTTTCAAATAGTACAGCATCATCAACAGTTGGCAAGCTTTTATTTTCAGAAACAAAAGCCGATGTTGGGTTTAAAGGTTTTAAATGTGGAAGACGCTTACTGAATTCGGCTATCGTTGACGAAATCTCTGGTGTGCTGTTGTTTGGTGACGCTGAAATTAGTACATTTACGCATTCAACCATTGTTTTAACGAGAATTTCATTAACATAACATTAGAAACTAAGCTAAGACTATGGGAGCTGTGTACTTACGATTTTTGTGTATTCTTATTCGATTTGGGAATTTTATAAGCTGGTTGTGTCTTCGTAGTATTTGTCGACCTGTGGACGCCATTTTGAAAAAGTCGGTTCGCTTTGATCGCATGCAATCTCGATCGTTAGGCAGGTCAGTCCGGTCAGTCCAGGTTATGAAACCCGAATTTTTCTTTTTTATATAAATAACAAAATATCAACACAAATAGAAGTGTAAAGATATTACCATTTGATTTTTTAAATATATTTTTTTGTGAATTTCAGGAAAATTTTTATAATAAATGAAAGTCAAAGAAAGAGATTTTGTTACGAATGTAAACCGAACGCTTTCCGAATTGATATCGATTGTCAAAAACCAACATGGCGGACGGAGTTGATGGATCTTCAAGCGCGAGTTCTGACAAAGATTCGTGGATTCCAGCAACACAAAGACCAGATGGAACCTGGAGAAAAGCTCGAAGAGTTAAGGAAGGCTTCGTTCCTCAAGATGAAGTAGAAAAATACGAAAGCAAAGGAAAGCAATGGTTAAATTCAATGCCAAAACTTCCACCAGGATTGCAAGAGCAGCCAAAAATATTGACGAAAAATCAGAAGAAACATGACCGAAAAAAGAATAAAAACAAAGAGAGCCCCGGCATACAAGGTCAGAGTATGGGTTCTTCTTTAGAAGAAGCTACTAAAAAAATGGAGAATATTCATTTGAATTCAGCACAAACAAAGACCACTACTGCAGCTGGCACTGTGTACACCAGCAATCCTAACGAGGTGAAGCAGAAAAAGCTTAAAAATTTGAAAAAGAAACTTCGCCAAATTGAGGAACTCCAAAGTAAAATCGATTCTGGAGAGGTTAAAAATATTGAGGCCAATCAACGTGAAAAGTTAGCCAAGAAGGAAGAGATTGTAGATGAAATTGAAGAACTTGAAAGGGAACTTGGAGTTTGAAGATGGAGAGATTCAAGATTTTCAATAAGAAAGGCTGAAGTTCCCTATAGCCTTTAAAGGCAAGTGTTATTCTTTCATAATAGCTTACTCTTAAGAGCATATCTTGAAGTGGGGCTCCTGTGGTAAAGTGTCTGTTTACCACAGGGAACCCAACAAGTCGTAATATTATAAAACTGGAGGCTGATGCAATACTTCAGCACAACAGTGAAAAAATGACTATGCTACCTTGACCATGTTACTATAGCTACATTGACTAGAACTGTTGGACATCAAACTTCGTTAAAATGACCACAGTCAGAAACCAGACCTTTTGCCTTCTAGAGCCCTAATGAAACACATGCTTGTACCAAGGCTAGGATAGAATGGTCTGTGATCACTAGATCAGAAAAGCCTATCTCAGCATTCCCATTCTCTCCCCTGCTAAGCAGGAAGATAATCTTGAATAGGCCTTTGGTTGAAGTTTAGACAGCTTTTGCCTTTAAGAGCTCTAATGAACAGCATGCTTGTATACCAAGGCTAGAATAGAATGCTCTGTGATCACTATATCAGGATGGCCTACCCCAGGGTTCCTATTCTCTCCCCTGCTAAGTAGGAATATCATAGACAACTCTTTTTCTAACTTTTGCCGAGAGAATTGAAACCAACGAGATCCTTGGGTATGAAAGAAGGAGAAAAAAAGAGGAAAAAATGGAAGAGTGGAATAGGGTACCCCATGCTGGAAAACAAAACTGGCAGTTCTGTTTTAGGATTTTCTTAACCACTTTTAAATGTTTTCATGTGAAAAGTAATTGCAGCTACAATTAACTTTTTTTACAAAGAGTTGAATAGAATAATACTATGAAGACAAACACAAACACATAGACTTGATTGTTTTAGTTGCATTAGTATAAATAATTTGCTCTTGTTTTCATAAATAAATTTCTCTTTCACATCACCATATTAAATTAAATTATCAAATAAATAATTACTTTGCGCTATGTGCCATACTGTGAAAACTTCCAAAAAAAAATTATTTCTTTTTGACACCATTTAGAGACTTTTTGATAAGTTTTAATAGTCCCCCTAGTTCCCTGCACTATCTTGAAAGGTAGCCGAGCATTTGCATTGAAGCGAGACGAATGGTGAGATTGCAATGACAGAGAAATGTGAATAATAGTCCAAGGTGTTAAAAATGRTCTCTATAATTGCAAACTCATTGTTTGTCTCGCTTCGATGCAAAGGCACAGTTAACTTTTAAGATGGCGCAGGGAACTGTAAAGGGGACTATTGCACTCTTTATAGYACTGTACCTCTAGCCAATAGATATTGGCACTTCACTTTGATGTTTCGAGATGCAAAGTTTGTAGTCTACATTTATGTAACAACATTGAAACAACAATGTGAAGTGCTTATAGATATGTATCTTCACTGGTCCCACAGGTGCAAATATATAAAAAACCTATTAGCATATCTGATCACTCCTCTTCCAACCTGCTAAGGCCGTGTGGTATCTTATGCACTTATGAGTATTTTAGTGGTCTCCCTTTATTTTGTTATTTTCCAACAATAACTTATATATGAGTACAATAGGACCAGTGAATATAGTTTACTAATAATATTGGTTAGTGGTAAAGAGCATGATTAAAACATTGTCGGAAATTGTGAACAGTATGGTGCACAGCACAGTAAATATAGCTTCCCTTTGATCTTGCTTCTTACATTCTGTTACAACACAGCGTAACTATCCATCTAAACATATGCAAAATATCTCGTAATACCAATCTTATTTTCTTAAAATTATTTTCTTGCTTCCTTATACCCAACCTAACTTTTTGTCACATCAAAATTATATATTTAATATCTGATGCCTAATGAAAATCTTGCCAACTAAAAATTATAAGCTACCAATATCCTTAATATATTTGAAAAAAAAGTTTGTTTGTAAATCCAATGATTCATCTGTTTTAATAGTTATAATAACTTAATGATTGCTTGGTAAGATAGCATTAATTAGCAGTACAATTGCTATATTAACAATAAATACTAAATTAATAAATCTTAAAACATATTGTATCATCATCTTGCAGTACTGTAGCTTTGCTAAATTTGACTAGTATATTTTAAGATGATTTAAAACTGAAAATAATTGGTCAAATCTTTTAAAACAATGAATATGATTTTAAAAATATGTTTTCAAGATAGGTATAAATTAAAAACTCTATGTTTCTAATAGAGTCTAATTTTGTATTCATTTAAAGAAAGGGGAAATATTAGTCTCCTACACAGCCGCTATTAGTTGCGTGACGACACTAATAGCGGCTGCGTAGGAGCCTAGGGAAACATGGGCACATGCCTAAAATATCACTAGGGCCTAATTTTGCAGAAACATCTTTCTCTTTCTAAAACAAAGAAGGAATAGCCAATTTTCAATATTTAATTTTGTTTCAGTGATCAAGCACAAAATAAAGGAATTGTTACCATTACATTATTGTTTCCCCAAAGCCTCGATTTGAAATGTTAAATTGTGCTTCACCACTCAACCAGAATATCGAAAGTTGGCTATAGGATTCTACTAGCAGAATACATAAACGATAGCTGGCCAACAGCTTGATTAACTCTCATTTAAATCAACTTTTACTTCTTTTATCTTGTAAAGAATTAAGAGATAAAGGTGGTGGGAGATTCTGGTATGAGAGCTGCTGTACTGATTTGTCAGAGCTTTCATATTTTAGTCCTCCCTCAGAAGTCATCTGCCTGCAGTGAAATGAAAAAATGGATGAAAAGTGAAAAAATGGAATAGGGTTAATTAAAATGAAAATGCTTTTAAAATGTAGTTCTGAAACCAAAGATATGCAAGTGTAAATTAATTGAGATAGGCAGCCAGGGGAAAAAACAACCTTTGGGCTGGTCTATATCAGGGTACATCTAACTCACAGATCAAACCCTGAAACAACTTTTGGGCTGATTTAAGTCAGGACATGGCTAACTCAAATATCAATCTCTGAAAAAACCTTTGGGCAGATCAAATTCAGGGCATGTCTAACTCACAGATTGAATTATAATTTAGAGTGTTGGAATTTGCCAAGGGAGTAAGACTGGAGAACTCAGAAAGAGACCTTCAAATCCAAAGAACAACAGTCCACACCATCCACTTATACCACCTCACCTTCCTCACCACTATATTATAGACAAGTAGTGTCCAGCACCTAAAAAGAACTTAATTATAAAACTTAACTAAAACATATATAAGATTTGAAATAAATGTATTAAATATGTCTGTCCTGAAATACCTTGTGAATTCATCATGATTATCTAATAGAGGTGCCGAATGCTTGATTGATGAAGTAGAGTCATTAATCTTTGTATCTTCTTCATCATCACTTCCTTCACTGTCACTAGCATCGTTTGTTTTTACTTTTCTGGCACTATTTGGAGAGGTCCTTGAAAACAAAGTGTTGATAATATTAACAGCATTACCACTCATGTTTGCATTGCTATGCACTGGTCAAGACAAAACTTTCAACAGTTTTAATTGCCGTAAGACTATTGGCAAGCTAGATGGGAATGATTTTTTTCGATTGGCTATTGAAATCAGTGGTAATGCTGTTAATATATTGCATAAATTAAAATATGTAGTTTCAGAAATCATTAATACCCCCCTCCCCCATGGAGGAATTTTTTGTCAGAACCCCCCTACAAACTCTGTAATGTTGTTCTTTCTCTAACCCCCCTCCCCACCCCTTGCAATTTCCAAGTTCCTCTGGGGGGAGGGGTAGAGATACTTTCTTGAACCACACAATAACAAATAATAGCTTTAAATGTACAATTCAAATAAGATTTAATATCACCAATAATATTAATATATTTAAATATGTGTCTTACTTTACAAACATTCCTTGTATTCCTGTTCTTGCATAACTGAACACGTCATGAATCGAGGAAAAGATGGCTGATTTTCTATCAATTTTTAAGCAGATATTCCAGTTATKAATACATGAAAAAGTGCACCAAAAGCAATGGGGAAAAAATATTTCAAAATTTCTCGTGAGGCATATTTTTTCAAACAGCATGGGGCTTTTCCATTGCTTCAAAAAACATTATGGATTTTAAAATTAGATTCTTGTTACCTTTCTTGTTTTAAGGCTGTGCCTTGTCTGCTATTGTCAGAATTTAAAGCATCCTTTTCTGTCGGTTCCTCTTCATGTGAGTCATGGTCATTGCTGCTGTCTGCTCCACCCGATAAAAGCTTTCTTTGTTCAGCTCTTTTAGCCTATTATATTAGTGAAAAGAAAATTCTTATTTTACTTAAATAAACCATTGAACAAACAAACAAAATTTGTTTGCATTGAACAAACAAATAAATGAACAGATGAGTAGATGAACGAATGAATGAAAGAACAAATTAATGCATGAATAAATAAAAAAATGGTTGTACACAATGGAGGTTAAGACTGAACAAAAATGAGCTCGAAATAGGAGTATTGTAATCGTTTTTATATTTATAAATAATGTATTATACAAAAACATTTTTTGTTCATCATAATAAAACTTTACAAAAAATACATGAATGAATGAACAAATGGATAAACAAATGAATGAAATAAATAAATAAATTGAATTAAAAATAAAAGAATACTTCAATTAATGAAGAATATGATTAAAACCACAGGTAGCACTGAGGTAGATTTCAACTTACATAAGTTCACATTTTTTTTACTACATATTTTGTCTGAGTGAAGTCATTCAATGAAGAGGATGAAGTGGCATTGATCTTTTGACATTTTAAAACTATTATTATTAAGCGATATGTTTTGATTATCACGCAATATGTTTTCCTTGATTTTGTTTTATATCGTAAAAATATCTCAGTCTATTTATTCATAGTAAAGGAATTAAAATCATATTTGATCTAGCCTTTGAAATTATATTTTCTCAATCTCACTTCATTATTTAACTCATTTGATTTCTTCAATGAATGTAACAAGCTTAATATTTGTAGGAGTGAGTATAATAAGTATGTCTATTTTGAGAGTCACCGATATTAAAGCTATTATTCTTTATCAGCATATACAAACTCAATTGAATTGATTTTGTTTGATATGAGCTAAATTCAGCAAATAAAGTATTTTCTTAAGATAAAATACAGACGAGACTAAACAGAAAGTTATATAATGCAAAACATTTATATTTTTAGTAGCCATCTATACGGCCAATTCAAATGACATAATTATATTCTAGACATGATCCTACAGACAGAATAAAATGTCTTTAGTTAACATTCAATTGTGTTTACATAAAATTAGACAAAATAGCTTTTTAAGGCCGAAAACAAGAAAAAAAATCATGATGCTTCAAGAAATTAAATGAATAAATAAATTTGAAAATTTCTTCATTTGTTTAGATTTTTTAAAAATTGTTGTTAATATGACCAAGGGTCGGTGGAACTAGAATATAACAAGAAATATCTTCTTTCAATTAGAAAATTAAGATTTACAAATCATAAGATCTCTAAATTTTATTTGCTAATTATATAAAAAAATCGGGGTTTTTTTAATACGAAGAAGATATCAATTGCAGAATATTTTTAATAATTTACTAGAAAATTCATGTGCCAAAAGTCAAAATACAGTTATATCTTAAATAATGAATAACACTGAAGTATTTTCACAGTCAAAAATAGCTGTATTAGCATATTAAGTATATAGGGTGTTTTAAGATTATAAGCATTTCTGATAGATAAACTACATTGGTCTGGAATGGTATGAGTGCATTTTTAAGGCAAAGATTTATTATTTTTCAGTGTATAAACTGTTTTTTGAACAAATAGATTGAATATTTCACAGCCTTTAGCAACAGGAAATATAATAATAACACCTTTGCATGAAAAAAGGTAGTTTAAGAAAGCCTTACCATTGTCAATGAATTTGGAGTTTTCTATATCACTCTTCGTTTCCTGTCAGTCACAATTTTGAATGGATTGAAATCCTAATAATTCCTCAAGCATCAAGGAATTTCATTGTAGGATTGAAAAGAATGGAAGCATCTTTTCTCCTTTTAACTCTTTTTCTTCAAGTTTTCTCTGGTGATTAAAAAGTAGATCCTTGGCAACTGATGTATATATGGATTTATGGAAATTTCATTCAAACGTCTGATATATCAAATGCCATTTGGTCAATATTTAATCAAGTCAACCACCCACAGTTTCTGTCTTAAGATTTAAGCCAATCAGAGAACACTTTACTATCTAATGTCTGCTAACATTTTTGAAAGAAAAGCAGTGCTTTTTTACCATCATACAATATGATCTTTACCACTTACATGATAGTTCAGAACATTTAGAATTTATTATTCTAAATTATGCCTATGGCTTTTTTTTTTCTTTTTGCTCAAACTGTATAGTCATGAAATCACCTGCTTCATCAATCAAGTTTCAACATCTTAAGTGATGTAAAAACAATCCTGGCAAAAGCAATTAAGAGTGTGAGCAACAATCAGATATAACGAATCACGAAAAAATTTTCCTCAAGGGAAAATATCCTGATTACAGTAAAAGAATTAATTTTTTGATAATTAAAATAAAACAAACAAGAGCAAAAGACAAACAAGCAAGGCAAAAAATACATAAAGCAAAACAAAAGTAAAAAACAAAAACAAACCAAAACAAAATGGTAAAAGAACAGTTGAGCTTTTTTAAACCCTTGAAAAGAAACTAAAAAAGCTATAATGTCAAAATTATACACAATAAACTGTGCTTATACACATTCATTTATAATTATTGTCATCATTATTGTCGTAAATATTCACAATTGTATTTTTTTCAATATGAGTCAGAATTTTTAATGTCATTATTAATTATCAGTATCCTTTTTGTTGTTGGGTTTGAGATAAAAATAATATGAGGTATATAATTGCATGTCTGGTTCATAAATCACTTTATTATTTTAATATATTTTATATTTTATCAAAGGCATTGGAACTAAAATTAACTAGAAAATGTTCTTAACTTGAATATTTTACCAAAACAAGTTCTTTAATTTGATTTTTGCCCACAAACGAAATGCAAAGGACAATAGCTTTTGTGTACAAATGTGTACATTCTATAATATAATTGATATTATCATAGCAGGTGACTATCATTAACATAAGACCATTTTAAGACACACTTTGGACAAACCTGTTAATTCTATTGTAATATCCTTAGAATGAAACTAAAATTTCATTTATTTTTATTTTGAATGATAAATTTGTCATTGGTATTGTATTCTTGGCGAATTATGTGTTAATAATGACCTGTATTTTCAATGTCGTCTATTGAATAAATTTGAGTAACCTAGCTAATCCATATTATTTATTATTCTCAAAATAGGAGTCTGATTCTGATAACAATTCTGTAATGAGATCTATTAAATATGTTTGGTTGTCAGTGTCTTGCAGCGAAAAAATTGCAGAAGGTTTTTYGAATGAGCCATTACAATTTAAACAGCTCCTGATTGATCAACGTACCCTCAGTTGGTCATGCTGGTATTTAATCTGCTTTAATTCCCTTTCAAGCAAATCCTCCATCTCGGCCATCTTTGCTTTATATATGTCAAGCTACATCACAGAAATTTTTAATACAAAAAGAAATAAAAATCAGAAATAAAGAAGTGAATATTTTGAATTTTTGTATTTGATGTGTGAARTGAGATTTCAGATGAAGGTATATCAGTGCTTGCATTTTTTGGGGTGGTTAATTTAAAATTGTAATATTTCAGTTTCCTGTGACAAGGGTTTGACAATCAATTAAATTTTGAGTGTAATGACTTGACAGATAAATGGACACTGACATAACATTAACAGATTAATTAAAATGGTTAAAGACATTTAAGCCAGGATGGAATGTAGACATGCTGTGACAGTTTTCTTGATCTTTTTATGCATATTATTATATGGTATCATATTATTGTTAGATCATATAGCTTTTACATTACTTTTGATGCATATGGAACATTCCCATGACATGTATTCACTTTTTAAAAGTGGGGAAGGAAAAAGGGAAAGAATAAAAAAAAAATGTAAAAATAGGAATGTTCTTGATAGACTTCAGGATCGGAATTGCACGTCCTTACCTCTTTTTGACAGTAAAAGACTATGCCATCCTCTGACGTATGAAACGAATTCCTTATCACTGCAAATCTACTATACATTGGATCACTTTCATCCACTACATCRCCGGAATCCTCACTCTCTGATTCATCCGAGGTTAAAACAAAGTTACATTTGACTTCGTTTTTTGAAAAAGAACTCCCATCATTTAATGTTGATTCCTTAATGTCATCATTTGGAGCTTCTTGTCTGTTAATACAAAGTTTGTTCAGTGGTAAAACATTCACATAACTTTGATTCCAAATAGATTTTTGTTTATTCAAAACTTTTTTCTTTTTCCTTGAGCTTTGTAATAGTTTGTCCCAGTATTCTTTAGACCGTTGGTCTATAAAGAACTTTGAATAACTAATACACTGTTCATAACATAATTCTTTAGCTGCACACTTGCATGTAGAAGATTTGTCACTGAATTCACTATGATTATGGCCAACTTCCTTGCTGTCTGGTTTTGGCCAAGGAAAAGAATGTGATATCAACTCTGTATATGTTGCATAATCATGTTTCCATATTATTGATGTGCAGTGAAAGTTTTTGGTGTCATTYTGGTCTTCGTAATGTTCAAATGGCAACCACAGAGAATTTTCCTGTAAATATAAGATTAATAAAAACTACTATTATTTTCACATTAATGATTAATAAGTTAATTACACTACTAAAGTTAGCCTTTCCATAGCTGGACAAGTTAATTATGTAATAGGGGCAGATCCAGGAAATTGTTGGGGGGGGGGATGGTGGGTGTCCCAGTTGAAGAAATGTATATAGACATATTATGTATCTCTTCAAAAAAGTGTACGAGTAATTGAAATGTTAGGGGGTGTCAGTGCACTTCAGGACACCCCCTGGATCTGCCCATGTATAAATTTTATTTGATGAACCCCATAAATAAGGGACCACCCTAATGCACTTGACACACATCTTTCATAACAACATTTTCTTATAAGCCACTGTACATTCATTCACTTTCAAGTTTTGCAGCACAAGTCACATGTCGAGTAAGGACACATGAATTAAAACTAGTTTGATTTCTTGAAACCAGACAAAATTTTGTGACATGCTGCTATGCTGTGTTCTAGTGACCTATCACCTAGTGTGTCCCACCTTTAAGTGCTGCAACGTGTTACCAAWTAATTGGGCTACCTGTGTATTTGTTTCCACAGGAAGTCCAAAAAATGTTCTTGAAGAAAACTTTATGACTGATAAGCCACTTCATTTATTTATTCATACGATGAAATTTCTAATTTCAGAAGATAAAAAAACTTGAGTATATTAGTATCAGTAGAACAATCAGACAGAGGTGCACATCTTGTTTACTTAACAACAACAGCTAGATACAGAATTGAATTACACTTTTGGTTAGACAACTGCAAAGACTCGAAAGATACAGTAAATATAACAATGCTGCTAATAATAATCATGTACTTGTCTCGTCAGAGTATTGTCAGAAATCGAAATGTCTTTTAATCAAGACAAAATGAAAAATTAGAGACAATTTTCATATATAAATATCAACTTTGAATATAAATTATTTTGAAAAAGTTAGGCCTAAATAAAGGTTTGATAAAAAAGAAACCGGGATTTAACTACAAGTTGCCATGAAAACCGCTCTTTTTGCAAAGAATGTTGACATTTGATGGAGATTCGGTTCATGTTAAATTTGATCAATCTATGTTTAAAATGAAAAATGGCCAGCTGAATTTGTCGACAGTTTTTCAAGAGCGTGATCTTTCGTTACTTTACGTAAAAAGGGAATACGGTTAACATTTAAGAACGAAATGAGGCGTATCAGCTTATATTTAATGTATTTCAAGTACGGAATCAGTCCAAATATATTGCGTACGTTTGAAAAATTTACGTACAAAAACTTTAAAATACAGAAAACTAAAAAATAAAGAAATTTTGCGCTTACGTCTTCTTGAAGTTTGCCATTTTCGTCCACGATGTTCATTTGCCTTGCTTTAGATTACATTCTACAATTAAAATATATTCCTTTGTTAAGAAAACAATTTAAATGCTTTCGTTTTTACTTCCTTTTAAATTACAAAGAACTGAGAGGAAAACCCGCCAACGTGACAAAAAAAAATTCCGATTTTTACCAATCRATAACTAGTCGATTAATCGACAACCAATCGGGAAGATGCTCCAGCGAGTTTTGAGCTCAGCGGTTGTATGATCGCGTTGGATTGTGGGATACTTTCTTCGCCGGTCGCCATTTTGTTTTCTTGGAGGCACAAGTTGTGAATAACACGTAGTTATTTTAGAGCTTGTTTAGCTTAATTTAAGAAAAAATGCTAAGAGTTGTATCAAGAAGACTTCTTYCTCCGGGATTTTCTAGAGCTGTACCAGCTTTAGGTAAGTTTTTTGCCTGACTTTGCTTGATTAATGTCTGCTGGAAATTTATGAAACCTCTTCTGAGCTCGAGGTCGTGCCAAAGATCACGTTTGATGTTTTGGATCTTGTGAATAGATGCAAAAGCTACTATTCCAAAGTTTTAGTTTACGGTATTTTGGTTTTGGTGATGTTGTCACTATGTTCAAAAGTGCTATTTTGATAGACCACAGATGCTAAATTTAACAGCAATTTTTCTCAGCGTACAAATATGTACAGAGATGTCTGTGAACGTTTTTTGAACTGCTTGCACTAGAAAAACTAAAGTACCATGGCTAAACAAGTTCACAGATATCTTTGCATTCAATATCCTCGTAAATRTATGTATTTACAGTATAGTATTGGACTTAAATGTCAATAACAGAATCCAGAATGGTGTAGTGGTAGTGGGTAGTGCACTTGCCCTGCACCTCCGGTGTCTCAGGTTTAAATCCTAGAYTTGGTATCACATGTGTCAGAGTAAAGTTTGTTGGGTCTCAATCTTGAGTAAGTATTTTCTAAGGTTTCTTTAGGCTCCCACTCACTGTAAAACTTATTATGCTAAATTTCAAACCAGTTAGACATTTAATGAACTTGTTTAAATTGTTATTTCCGTAGGTATAACTGCTCGTCAGTCCAGTAATAAGCCCAAAGAATCAGAAGAGGCTTTTGATGCAAGATGGGAGGCATACTTTAGCAGGTTCGTGTGAGGAGAATAGATTTTGAATGACTCGGAAATGCAAGGGAAATGGTTCTATCTTAATAATAATTGGTGTTTATATAGCACCTTTTCCAAAAGCTTAACTAATTTAGTATGGAATAATCTAAATCATACTATTTGGGATTTTATAACTATTTTTCAATTACTGGTACTTTCAATCTCGTTACAGACCAGACATTGATTCATGGGAGTTAAGACGAGGCCTGAACGAACTCTACGGCCATGACTTGGTCCCAGAACCCAAAATCATCAATGCAATGCTACATGCTTGCCGTCGTCTAAATGACTATGGCATGTCAGTGAGAATTCTTGAGTCTATTAAAGACAAGGCTGCTGGCAATAAAGAAATTTATAGTTATATTGTAAAGGAATGCAAGCCTGTGATTGATGAACTTGGGATCAGTACTCCTGAAGAACTTGGCATTTCTAAGTAGACTTGACGTATCGCTCACCATTGGTAAGTTGATTTTGAATTTTTGCCTTAATTTATTGGTTGAATTTGTTGTCTTTGCATAATGGTGCCATTTTAGTACTACAAGTACCAGAATGCATTGCAATTTCATGGTATAATAYCAATGATAAAGGGACTCAGGTGTTATTGTTTTTATTCTAGGTCATCCATTAGAGTGACCACTATTTGGGATTTACAAAGAATGTGTCATCTGTTTTAATTATAAAGAATCAGTAATATGTTTTTTGTTTTTTTTTTGTGAGACATGTGCATTTAACTACTGTCTGTTATGGAAGATTGTTGTAAATTAAACACAAAATAATAATAAAAATCATTTTATTGATTTCATTTGAACTTTAGAATTGAGAGCAGTATAACTAGTACTGCGATAATACATGACTCATAATGTATTCCCCTACAGGGCTAAAATTGTTTTTTTCTTTCATAGACTTAAGGCTAGCGAACTAATAGGTTTCACTAGTCATATGGTTTTGTAGATATCAAAACTGTATGACCCTTATTTTTTCCCCTTATTTTTTCCCCTTATTTTTAAAACTACACTTGTTGCTTCACGTTAGTGTAAAAAGGGAGAAAGATATAAGGTGGAAGAGTGCATTCTATATAATACATGAAACAAAACAAAACACAGGGCTTAAAATAATGGCCAGAGAATGAGTAGCCATTATTTAAGCCCTGAGACGTATTGTGAAATAGGACACTTGCATTATGGCATCATTTACTACCACTACCAGAATCCCTTGCACACTTTCTTTTGTTCAGTTAATTAGCACCAATTGTTTTTCTTTTCTCATAAGGGAATAAAAATTTGAATAAGAAAGAAAATTCACAAAGCATTTTGGTAGTGATAGTAAAATGATGCCATCATTTAAACGACCTATTGCATTCTTTTATACCAAAAAAGTGGATATTACTGGAAAAGAACAGTGACCAAATACAAAACCAAATACCTCAATCACATTTTTGTGCAGCTTATACCTGAGTTAAATTCTTATTATATAAAACTATTATACTCCACTTAGTAATTGTTTTACAGATATATCATACATGCACTCTATCTGRAATTTGTGTTGTATGGGTAGAACTCCACTCAAAAATTGCTGTTTTGTCTAGACTCTTACAAAATATATGCCTATCCTCCTATCCCCTCGTGCAAGTATCTAATTTGCATAGTCGTCACGATTTAAGGGTATTCTGTCTTTCCAAGGCAGTTATCTTTTCTCTGGTATGCAATTCAGTATTCCTATGTCGGTGGTCGGCCAAGGGGTCTAATTCTTGATCTGCTGTAGCCAACAACAGGAGTAGGGAAGAGGTTTGTTCGTTCTGAAAAAAAATCATAAATTAATCTGTTTATGATTAGGATATGACTTGTAGAAGTTTCATTGTTTTCGAGACATACTTGGCATCAAGTCTTCTACGAATCCATCTTCARTCTCTCCACTTCCGCTTCCGGTATCATCTATCCCATCTGTACTTCCGGTATCATCTTTGTCTTTCTCGGTACTTCCGGTGTCATCTTTATCATCTGTGCTTCCAGCATCGATTTTGTCTTGTTCGGCGCTGCCGCTTGAACTTCCATCAATATCGATGATTTTCTTTGGTTTGTTTGGTAATTTTGAACTGCTAGAAGTAGGCACGTTGGTACCATGATTTGAAGGCTTGCGAGTGCTTGGCCGGGTAGGTACTTCATCCCCCGATTCTTCTTGGTCGATCGGAGGTTTTTTCTCCCCGCCAGTAGCGGAGCTCACCTCCGGTGAACCAGATCCACCACCAGAACTCTCACCGCTAACTTGTGGTGAAACACCGGAGCCATCGCCAGATGTACCTGTGACTGTGCCTGAACCTGTAGTGGTCCCCGTGACTGTACCGGTGTCTGGTCCCGTCCCGGATCCCGTAGCAGATCCCACAGCAGATCCCACGGCTGATCCCGCACCAGAACCAGAGCCAGTCCCAGTTACGCGTTTCGGCGGGACGTACGGTCTTGGTGTTGTCTTCTTATCTATAAATGTAATACTGTTTAGAAACCACTTAAACAACGCATGCAGGGGATGCGTTCACATTTGGGAATTCGTCTGCTTAGCGGCGCAAAGTGCGGCGGAGGGAGGGAGAGAAGAGTGGGATCAGGGAAGGGAGAGAAACCCTCTATGCACCGCTACGCAGGTTATTTGTGAATGTGAATGCGATTAGAAGTTTAAAATACACCTTTGAATTAAGACTGCTTCACACTAGTGACGAAAGCAGAGGCAACTCAAATATRGTACATTTTCTCACTATGAAAAGAAGAGACGTAAACGCAAGAGAACGGGCAGTTTTAGTTTTTGCGTCGGCTTGAGTCACTAGAGATAACCAGGCTTTAAGACTATAACTGTAATTTGCGTGCCTCTTCGATCGAGAATCACGTAATGAGAAACTAATTGCGAGCACTCATGAAAACTATTTGCGGGCTAGTGGAATTTACAGGAGAGACATACTCACATTCTACACAATGTTCTCCATCCTTGCGGAAGCCATCCTTGCAAACACAGGAATACGCAGAAGGTTGGCAAACCTCACCTGTGCCGCACGCGTACCGACATTTAGAACCTGAAAAACACAACAGAAAGATGTATTTACTGCGGTTTTCGATATGCTGAGAACTAAGATATTCCAACGGCTTGTTTGGAAATTGGTTTTTTACTGCCGCGAGTCAATAATATCAAAGGTATCGATTATTTTAAATTGACGGCAGTGAAAAACTAAATTTCAGCATGCAGCTCGCAACTACAGAGTTATCGAAAACCGCAGTAAAACGTTTTCTCTTGTAGTGATACCAACCTAGAAACAGTTTATCTTGAAAAGCTATGAATATATACCTTGTGTCTGCGGCCTTTATGTATGTTGTGGCAGTGATTCAATTGCGCACCTCAAGAGACCGATTTAGTTTGAGGATGATATCGTCCGTTATGGTGTATCTTCACTTGTTAAGCGTTATTAGTTGATAGAAAAACAATCCTCATTCCACAGCGTGGGCTGAGATGCGAATAAATCACGCCCAGTCAAACCTCCCCTACCATAGCTTCTTTCTCAGGGCACTTCCATACATATAAAGACTACTCCGATCAAACCATATCACTTACTCATATCAACATAGAGTGACGTCTTGTGTGAAATCTTTCCTACTTCGTTCTGTGCTACACATGTATACGACCCCTCGTCACCTCCACGAGGATTTAGAATAATCAAGTGTCCCTCTTCCGTAATATGGTGCCTCTTTCCAAGGAACGTAAGAGCTCCATCCGAGTTGATGTGGAAGTCAGAGCTGTCTTCAGAAGCGACGCGGATCTGTAGTTCTTCCTTGAACCAAGTGATTTTGGGCTTGGGAATTCCTTGAGCACTGCACTTGAAGATAACTGGTTTGACTGGTTCTTCAACATCGACGACTTCCGGTAAGACGGTAAAAACTGGCCTCTCTGAAAAGCATGATTAAATTTGATTTAATACAAAAAAATTCAGATCTGTAATTGATATATTTTTTCATACTTGAGAGAGAGTTTTAAACAAAATGGTTCACAAAACGGGTTTGCGCATCTGTCGTCAAGTGTATAATAGACCTCTTCGGCTTGGGGGTAATGTTGTCCAATTTCAGACCACGTGTCATTCTCTTGAGAATAAGATTCTTTGTTTGAGCTGTATCCATATTCATGTGTCTTCTCATGTGCAACCTAGCGCAAACCTTAAACAAAGAAATGATACTCTAGGGAATGACACGTGGTCTGAAAAGGGAAAACATTACGTCAGAGCCGAAGAGGTCTATTGTTGCATGACGTAACATGCATGATACCGCAGGAAGACCACGGCAAAAAAATGCGCAATATAATAGCACCAATTTGGCYAAATTGCTAAGAATTTTATACACAAAATTTTAAGGTCATTGTTGCAAAGGACCGGGCCGAAATCACGGTTGGTTGACTTACTGCGTGCACAATGAACGCGCGCAATCTTAGGTTTGGTATTGTAGGCAAATATATGAAATAGAAGAGTCGATCTACGCTGAACGCGTAGTGTGCGCGCATGCACTAGTGTTCTAATTAGCAGAACTATTTTTTTCCGTTTACTTACCTCCAATGTATAGTTCTGCAGCAGCAGCAGAAGACCCAGCCGCGTTAGTCGCAACACAAGCGTACTGACCGACATCTCTTTTAGAAACCGATTTAATAAGAAGAGTCCCCAGAGGATTGACAATATGGAGGTTGTCGAGCTTCAAGGCTGAGCCGTTCAAGGTCCACGAGTAAGTCGCACCTGGCTTGGCTCTGCAGTCAAGTGTAGCATCCTCGCCGTATATTACGAGTAATCGTTTAGGGCTCACAGAGACGTGTACTCGCTCTGTTAAGGTAAAAAAAAGTGCACAAATGATCAAGGGTGGGAATCGAGAATAGCGTATCAGACTCAGCATCACATCTGCATTATCCTCCTCCGCAGGTATCTATCTCCTTAGCTCTTTTTGCTCCTTGGGCTTCCTGTGGTGAGGACAAAAATGCCGAAGTGGGGAGGAGGAAGGTAGGGAGAAAGAAGAAGAGGAGATGGTAGATATGAGTWTTTTTTAAATGCAGGGAGAAAGCGAAGAAAATTATGTTAGTAAAAATATTTGTAGAACGAAGAAAAATAAACAAGGAAGGAAAGAAGGAAGGAAGGAAGAAACAAACAAACAAACAAACAAA